TCTCATCAACATCAGGAGAATCATCATCACTACCATCAAACTCGTCTTCACCTACTTTGTATTGATGGTTATGATGATCAATAAGAAGGATTTCATCAGTTTATTGTTCAGGTACCTCTACTTCAGTGATACACGCTTCTTCTTGCAAAGGTGGTTCTTCTTCAGTAATTATTCATCCACAAGGTGTAATCTTCATAACAACTAACCAAGTTATTCCTGAACTTCTAACGCGAGGGTATGGAATGAAGGTAACTTGCTCAGCTTGAGAAGCTAAGATGAAAGGTTCGAATTCGTTGTATCTTCTTACAAAATTGACAGCCACAACAACAAATTTGTTAAACCGAACACCCATGTTCACAACAGGGTCGAACCACTCACATTTGAAGAGGACACATTTGAGCTTCAATAATCCCGCAAATTCCACTTTAACAATCTCTTGCAAAATCTCATAAAATGTTGTTTCGCCTTTCACACATATCTTGTAGTTACTTGTTGCCCGACAACTCCCATAGTCGTATGTATGAAACGTAAAACCTCGTGTAAAATACATAGGTGATGTGGTAATTTTTGCTACATAGTGACATAGTTTTGACCTTTTCGTCGGTCCACTTCAGTTAAACAAAGTCGTCTTCGCTTCTGATGATAATCGGAAGATAAGAACTGGAATGTTTCCATCGCTTTTGATATGTAACTCACTTTTTGAGCAAATATCAGGTAAGTCCATCCTTGACTTTTTGCTATCTTTTATCTTCTCTGGGACGTTCAGTATTGTATTCATGATGTTGTCAAAGAAGTTTTTCTCTATGTGCATAACATCGAGGTTGTAGCGTAAAAGAAAATCATTCCAATAAGGCAGATACCAAAATATACTTTTCTTATGCCAATTGTGGCTGACCCCATATCCATCTGGCATATTTCCAGGAACATGCCAGTTTCCTCCACGCGGAACAGTTTCCTGAGCTCCGTAGTAATCAATTTGCGCTAGGATCTGTTCTCCACTGAGATATGGAAAAGAACTATCCCTTACAACTTTTTTGTACCTAAACAATGTCTTATTTCTTTGGTATGGATGGGTAAGGGGAAAAAATCGACGATGACAATCAAACTAACTACTCTTCCTACCATTCTTCAATTGAAAAGAATATGTTGATCCAAGAAATATGTAAACAAGATAACCTTCCATGTGTAGTCCATCCAGACAACATCTCATAAAGCAGGAAATCACTTATCGTCCAAAGCAGAACTGCTTGCATCGTAAAATTGTTTTTCATGGAACAATCATACGTCCCCACCCCTTCTGACCACAAGTCCTTCAGCTCTTGTAGCAATGGTTAAAGAAAAACATCTAGTGACCGCTTTGGATGCTTCGGACCAGGGATTAATATGGTCAAGAATAAAAAATTGTTGTTCCATGCACATCTCTGGAGGCAGGTTGTACGGCGTAAGAATCAGTGGCCACATAGATTATTGTCTCCCATACATTCCAAATGGACTAAATCCGTCTGTACATAACCCAAGATAGACATTTCAAATATTTCTTATGAAATCTGGGTGTACTTTGTTGAAATGTTTCCATCAGATCCAAGCTCTTGCATCTGATGGATGAGCAATCTCGCCATCCCTCTAGACATGTTCAGCATGCCACCTCATCGCTCAGGCAATTCTCTCAGATTGATATAATATTTTTAGCCGATCTGTAATTGGCAAATACCACATCCTTTGGTACGGTACTCTTTTCCTCCCACGTCCTTGTGGTTCGAATCGTGGCTTCTTGCAGAATTGACACTCTTCTAGCTTCTCATCATCTCTCCCGTAGATCATGCAGTTGTCGATGTAAGCATCTATCATCTCTAATAGCAACCGAAGACAATAAACCAATTTTTGAATCTCATAATAAGATTCAGCTGACACGTTGTCTTCTAGCAAATACTCTTTAAATAACTCGGTCCATGCATTCATGCGGTTCTTAGGTAAATTATGATCCGTTTCAATATTAATCATCCTAGCTGCTAGAGACAATTTAGAGTTATCTTCTCTACAACCAGTGTAGAATTGTTGATTTGCAGAATCTAGCATTTCATAAAATCTTTTTGCATCCAAATTAGGTTCTTCAACATTTCCAGTTTCATCAGCTATTGTTGTAGTAGTTTCTAAAAAATGCATCAGTAATCATGTCGTAAACCCTATCATGATCTACCATCTGTTCAGCTGCCTGATTATATTAGTTATGCAAATGATTTGGTTCCTCATTATTACCGGCTTTCTGAAAATTACTATTACTACTACTAGCTACATTTCCTCCATAACCCTCTCCATGTTGAAACCAAATATAGTATTGTGGTGTAAAACTTTTGTGTACTAAATGTTTCCACACAGTTTCAGTACGGGTAAATTTTAAATTCTTGCATTTCTGACAACGACATAACATCTTACCACTTTCCTGCGTGAACGGTGTACAACATGTATGGTTCATAAATGTCTCTAGCCCGCTAAGAAATATATTCGTCACTCTACCGTCAGAATCTTTATGCGTATACATCCAACTCCGCAATTCGAAAATATTTCTTCCATTATACATTTTTGAGTTGTTGTTTTTTTTGTTTGTGTGTTTGTATGGAATGAGAATGCTTGTATATATATAAAATTCCTCGACATTGTTCGGTGAAATTTTACTAGGTATTTACAAGGAAATATTTACTATGATTTTACATGCCCTAACATCTAAGTTACAATGTAGTTACAACAAATTAAGTGAGGTGAACTACACATTTAAACTCGTGTTCACCTACCAATATTCATCGTAATGCACTTGTACAATTACGACGACTTTACAACGAATGTATTAAAAAAAATTGGATAAAAAAATTGGATTGCTTCCAAAAAACTAAAGGGAGTTCACAGTAATCAGAACAGTCTTATCAACTCCTCATATCTATTCATTGACTTCTCGAGGAAAAGCTATGAGGATTTGATTAGACTTGTTCTGGTGACTGTCCACGCTTTTTAACTTCTTGAAAAATCGATATATAAGTCCTCAGACTTTTTTTCTTTGATTTTCTTTTTGTATTTGTTTGTGTGTTGTTAGGTTGATTAGGAAAAAATTTTGAGTTTTGTTGGTAAAGATTTAACAACGAATTTATAAGGACAAAATTTACTAGGATTTTACAACTCCTTTATATATGCTTTACAACAATTTTACAACGAAATTAGTTAGGTTAAGAACACGTTTTTATTTATTATAACGGTTAAACGTTTAGTCGTAATGGCCTTGTAATTTTAATTCTGCTTTATGGCGAAACTTCAATTTCCTAGTACACTCGTTGTAAAATAACATGTGAGTTACGACGAAAGTGTTACCTTGTAATGTTACTATGACTTTACGACGAATTTTAGTTTCCTCGTAAAGTAGTAGTAAACTACTCGTAAAGTTACGAGGAAATATTTTCCTCGTAATTTTTCCTCTTTAAATGCGTGTTTTCTTGTAGTGAAAAAATGTATAATTTATTGTGTTTGTTTTCTTAAGTGAACAACATTTTGAAAAATTTGAAATTATTCATACATATATTATAAGTAGTTTATTTATTTAAAATAATTTACATTGATTTCATTTTAATAATTTAAATTCAAATAAGATAATTCTTGGGTTTTTACACTCTATTCTCAATCAACTTTAAAAAAAAAATTACATTGAAAATTATGTTAAAGACTGGTTCAGTGTGTCTTGTACTTTTTAAAATCATAATTTTACTTAATTTTTTATAATAAAAGACTATAAATAAATGTATATATATATTTAAAATATTTTAATATTTTTATTGAAATGTAATCTTAGAACTAATATGCAGGAGGCTCTTTTCATTATTTTATTTATAAAAATTAAAATATAATCTAATTGAATATAGAAGTATTCAAGGGTCCCAGACTCCCAATATTCAAAGTAGTAGATATTTCTTCAGTTTTAAATAATTCAGCTAAATGAATAATGAAATATAATACAAATAAAAATATAGCATCTATGTATATATAGCGTAACTATAACTAACTATTAGACATGAAAAATGAAATTTATTCTGTAAAATATTGTTTCAATTTTTAAAAATCATATTTATGCTGACTTATAAAATTATGTGGATTATGAAAACATATATATGCTGACTTATAAAATTTGATCATAACTTTTCTAGATTGCAATAGATTTTTGTGAATTTATATTACCTTTTTCTATCTTTCCTTTTCTAGATTGCAATAGATTTTCACTAATTTTTATAAAACATGTTTAAAAAAAAAAAAAATTATAATAAATAATGTTATTATGATAAGATGAATATCATATTAACAACTTTAACTATATTATGTCTGTTTTAGTAATTCATATATTCTTTTGTTTTTTTATTTTCTAAACAAAATAAAAATAGAATTATACATTAAAAGGTAAGTAAATAAAAATGTAATGGATTATGATTTTGGACATATAATTTGGATTAGAGGTGAAATATATATTTGGTAAGAATACTTATTTTGTTTTCTAGATGTTTTAATCACATGGATTTTGAAAATCTCATAGATATATATGATATTTTGAAAGTTGTGTCTTATGTGTAAAAATGTAGAGATTCATCTCTCAGTAACACAAGATTTAGTTAGAATTAGATAATCAATAATGACTAGACTTTTTGAATAACAAGAGATTTGAATAGATTTTGAAAATTCTTAAAGCAATAAAAGTGGATTTACTAAGAGTTTTAAAATCCATGAACCAATCAATTAATAAATAATAGAAAGAAATATGATTATGTAATATTTTATAAACAGTAGAATATCTCTGTTTCCTTTATTTGAAAATCCATTACCTTAAACAAAAACAAAAACTGAAAACTAGTCAAACATAGTGCTAATGTTAGAACGTTTCCATTTCTACATCGTAATAACATATATAAATAACAGACTGTATTTAGCCTTGAAGAAACAAAACTAGTTAATAAATGTCCAGAGCATTTATGATGGCTCTTATCGTGAATCTTTTACCTCTTTTGTTCTCAGCAGCCCTAGTTTATTCGGATCGAAGTACGGTGCCTCTCAAATCCTTTAAGGTCAGCTTTAAAACAAAACTTGAGATACACGCTTCCTTTCTATTATTTTGATCTACAAAACTTGTCATTTCTTATAATTTCATCCATCATATATCATGTAGCTTTTTTTAATGAAGTGAGTGAAACTATGTGTTTATGATGTATTTTTAACCATGATAGATCAGTGAAAATGTGATATACGATTGCATAGATATTTATAAGCAACCAGGACTTGATCATCCCTTGCTTATAAACCACAAAATCCAGGTACGGGATTTTACAAATTCGTATGGTTTTATAAATATAAATTCAGTTCAAATAAACAAATATTGACTATAACATTTATTCTTTGGAAAAGACGAAACCATCATTTTCACCACATGATCCATCATTTTCACCACATGATCCAACGAATCAAACGAGCAATAACGCGACATACAAAATGAAAATAGCATGTCCATATGGAACTGTTCCCATATTGAGAAATACAAAGGGCTTCAATACTAATGCACAATTTTTTGCCGAAAAGTATTTCAATCCACTTACAGCCGATAGTCCTCTAACACATGTAATTCAACTTTTCTCCTAATATTTTAGATCTAATAATTTTGTATATATATGTGTGTGTGTGTGTTAATAGTTATAAATAATTTATTCTTGGTAGATTGCTGGGGTAAGGTCAGAGTCTGGTCCATATCGTGGTGTGCAAGCTTTCTTTACAGCGTATAACTTAGACCTCAGAGACGATGAAGCGTCATATACTCAAATATATATAGGGAGTGGACTTAATAATGAGGCCAATTTTTTGATGACAGGTTTGATGGTAGGTTTTACATTTAATTTGGCTTTCTTTCTTAATACATCTATCAATCATCTGGATAATGTAAAGTAATGCAGTCTTTTTATACAGATAAATCCAAGCTTATATGGCAACGACAGTGTCTGGACATTTGGATTTTGGCAGGTGCCTTTGAAATGTTTAGATTTATATCACGTATAACATGAAACTATTAAATAAAATCAAGGCTAACCCTGAGCTAAAAACTCACCAAGCACCCGCTTTAGGAGCCAAAATTTGTAAATATTTATATTGAAGTTTTAATGGTTTATGGGCAAAAATTTTGAGTACTGTAGGCGTCTAAATACATAAGATGAGACCTGAATATGATTTTGACAGGGTAAGGATGGAAAAGGATGTTACAATACTGGATGTCCGGGATTTGTTCAAATATCGCAACGAGTGCCTATAGCCCATCCCTTAGGAATGAAGCCACTAGAATCTGGCAACATAAATCCCTTCATCCATCAGGTATTATACATGATTTGAAAGACTGTTTTTTTAATGAAATGTTTTGTTGGAGAAATATTGTCACTAGCCATTCTCATTTTAACATAATCATTTAACTAGTTAGGTTTAAATTATTACTATTACCTTCTAACATTCGGTTGCTTGTAAACTAAAACTATAACTTCATTAGTGCAACTTATTGCAAATATGGTTTTTTTAATTAACAAATTTGATATTTGCTTTTCCTGGTAATGGACACAAAAAGGATAAGAAAACAGGAAATTGGTGGCTATCAACCTTGGTGTATAAGGCGCCTATGATAAATATCGGCTATTGGCCAAAAGAGTTATTCAACCTTATGGATTATGGTGGAAATATTGTTGGAGCTGGAGGTATAGTTCATGCTTCTTCGTATGGTTCAAGCCCTGCCATGGGTCATGGTCAATTTCCAAAAGCAATCCCTACCGATGGATCAACAACTTTTGAAGATGTTCAAGTCATGAATTCTAATTATGAACCACATAGAATGGATTATTTTCCAATAGAGAAGTTGTTAGACAGTCCCCAATGTTATGGGATAGAAATTGGGATAAACCAACCTCGTCATCATGATCATCGCGGTTTCTTTTTTGATGTTGGTGGTCCGGGAGGAAACAATTGTTGAATTTGGTATTTGTAATGTCATTTTTACCCCATGATATTAATCTTATATATTAAAACAGAAGTCATGACTTGAATTAATGTGTGATTTTTTAAAAAATAGACTATTACTAGAAAGTCATGTTACATTAACTCTTTAATAATCTTCTTATTATTATATCTTATAAAAAATCATATTTATAATAACAAAGATACCCTTAACAATTTGGTTTTGGTAAATTACTTCATACCTTCCAACTTAGTCACGCAAAATTTGTCAATAGATATAAGTTTAGGAATCTTCTATTATTTATAAGAAAATATTTCAATAATAGTTAAATGCATCCAAAATATATTAACAAAAATCACAGATTCATAATATAGAATATTTATATACCCTAACAAAATTTACAAGCTATATATATTAGATAAATTTATTTCGATGTAAATTTTTAAAATTATATTGTTTTAAAAAAGAAACTGTTTAAAATATTCTTTTTTAGTAAAATTCTTTATAATATTAATTTATGAAGCTAGAAGTTTAGTTTTTAGCAAAAATTTCTTCGAAGTGTATATTATCTTTACAAATTAAAGTAAACTAATATTTAATCAAACTCTATTTATATTAATTTATCAAAAAATGAAATACCAATCTAAAAAAACAATAAAATGTAGAAGAAGAAACAAACACATGTTTGAAAAACATGTATAATATAAAAAAATTGAAACAATATATTTGATTAAAACACGTATTATATAATATTATTATGTTTGAAAAACATTTACTATACATATCATAAATATGTGATTACTATATTATATACCAATTTACAAGTGAAAAAAATGTTTATATAACTAACTATAAACAAAAACAAACACTCGCGCGGTTGCGCGGATCAAAATCTAGTAAAACAATTATATTATAAACTAGTAACTAGATTTTGACCCGTGCTTTTAAAGCGTGAGATGATTTTTGTTTTAAAAATTGGTTTTAAGAAAAATTATAATTTCAAATTTTTTTTATATATTTTAAGATTAAAAAAAATATTTTTTTAAGGTGTGTTAAATTCTGGGTTTGGAAAGAATTATGACCCACCCCTTATACTATTTGAATTACAATAGTCTAAATTTATATAAGAATATTTTATTTGTAATTCTAGTTTTGTTATAACTGCATAGTTTAGTCTTCTGTATTAAATTTATAAATAAAAGGTGCAACTTTATTGTGTGATATGTGTTTGTGTTTGTGAAAAATAATTTGAAATACTATGAAACTCTATTTATATTTTTTCGGTTCCGAATTATTTTACAATGTGATAATGAAGAAAATTATAATATATTTTAACCCATTTTGCATTGGTTAGATTTTTCTAATAGTTTTATAAAAATAGATTTAGTATTTTTTGTTCAACTCCTTGTTTTACATATTTGATAGAATACCATGAAATATTAAACTGTAAAAATATCAACCACAATTTTATTCACTATATAACTGAATAAGAAGAATTATCAGCTAATATTAATATTTTATTTTTATCAAGTGCAAATATATATATATAATATAATAAATATAAGTAATCTGTTACAATTAAGTATTTTATCTTATTAGAAATATATTACGTTCAGTTTAGATTAACCTTTCAAATTTTACTTGTTGAAATGGGCATGCATTATTATTTGGTTTCTAAGAAAACAAAATAAAGATACCCAAAAACTCTTTTTAACGCACGTGATCATCTTCTACGATATTGGCTTGATTATCGAAGCACAAGGAACTGAAACGATGGAAGCCATTAAATAATACTCGCCAGCGTTCTGCACTTCCACGTCACCTAGTGTCACTAACTCGACATGCTACACATATTCTCGGCCGCCAAATTGATCATGTCAACGAGTTTTAGAACTCAAGTTATATGTACGATCAAAGTTTGATCCCTCCCAAAACTTTAATTAAAAGATTCTTAAAAGTTATTGGAAGAAGCTTGAGCAAAAATTTAAAAGACTTCACGGTTAACCATTGATATCACTCAAATTACCCTAATGAGTGAATTACTCTCTCAAATAAGAGATTCAGTTGTAGTACTTAGGGATAGAATCCACAAGGAACTAAGGAACACAAAAGATATAATCCTTATTGATTATGCTAGGTTGATTAAAGTTTAAAAGTAAATTGCAGTTGTGAGCAATGGAGAGTTGCTCAAGAGAACTGGTTTAGGTTTTAAACAATAAAAGAAAGTAGTTAGATTCAAGGTTGTTATTCAGATAATCAGGATTATAATGCTACGGATGTCTTAATAAGTTGTTTCCAAGATATTAAAGAACTTCGACTATTAGATAAGTCTATTAGCAATCGCTATCTAGACTCGTCCATTGATCTGACTGCCGGCAATATCGACCTATGTTTCGACAGCGATATCAGACGATATAGGTTGCCGTCGATCGATTACTCTATAGGAGTATCGATCGATATAGCTTCAGATCGAATTGAATACGTGTTGACCAAGATCATAGACCGGCTCTCGCTCATCCTTAGAGGACCTCAGCTTATGCTAGATGATTTCAGGATGATGATTAACAAGTTAAATCATTCCAGGATCATACTCTAGTTAGCTACTCTAGAGTAAGCATTAGGGTTCATCAGGATAATGAATATCACAACTCAACAATCCATAGTTGGGACTAATCCCTCATAACTATTTGAACCTCAAATCTAACAAGTGAATCTAAGTGATTCATAGCATCAAGGTAATGATAGAAATTCATAAGATTAGAAGATTGAACACTTGGTTCCTTTGAACAACAAATCTCTTTGTGTGTTCTTCTAAATCTAGAACTCTATAACCTTTGATGAAAATCAGAATAAGATGAAAAGAATACTTTTATAAATCAAAGAACTAAGAGAATTAAAAAGAATAAAAGCAATCAAAGGCACTAAAAGCACACTTTGCCAAAACAAATAGGCATAACTATAAATATGAGTTCAATTTGGTTAAAAACTCGCCAGGGGCAATCTTGTAATATTGAGAGAACTTGGGCTTCAAGTCGGCTGAGTCAAACTTGTTCTTCAAGCTCGATATCGATCGATGGTACAAGGCGTACATCGATCGATGGTACAAGGCGTACATCGATCGATGGAGTATCTCGATTCGTCATTATCTACGGAAGCGTCATCGATCGATCACACATGATTTGTATCGATCGATATGTATCTCTGGATATCGACCTTGTTGTCTGATCTTCATAGTTGTCTCGGGAAAACTCTTCTTTAAGCTCCATAAGGGCACCTAAATCATCACTTTACTCCAAAATGCTTCTGAACTTGAAAACATACATAATAGACTCCAAAACATATATATATATATATATATATATATATATATTATAAAATCATCTAAATACCATGGTTAAAAGTGGGTCAAAACCATGGTAGATCAACTCCCCCAAACTTAACATTTTGCTTGTCCTCAAGCAAACACAATAGTTAGTCTTTGGAAGAAGTTTAAAAAAAAAACAACAGGGACTCAATCAAATCTTAACTTAAGATCATCACCTCTACTTTGTTGCAAGCCACATCTCATATCTATTAACTACAGAAGTACATTATACCGTATCCTAGCTTAGCAACCAAACTCATCTAGCCAATCAACTTAGCAATCCTGTTTGTCTATCCCCTCTACTGATTTCATTTATGCATAAAATAAAAGTGTAGGCTTTACCTTGGGAGTATCGATCAAGGAACACTTTGATTTAACTCAAGCATTCTCATTCTGTTTTGTTTTCTCCATATATCTCCCTTCTCTGAATTCCAAATTTTTCTTTTTCTTTTATATCAATCCCAATGAACAACAAATGTTCATCTTATTGATCTTTCTACTTTTTGTAGCCTTTTCTGACAAAGTGTAGGCGAATAGTGGGGTCATGGGTAATTTACCTCTCCCTCGCTTCCACAATGTATGATCATTCCTTTGAATTATAATAGTGGGGTCATGGGTAATGTACCTCTCTCTCTGCCTCTCAGGTTATCATCTCAATCTTTTTTTTTCTAGGATGCCAAAGGAAGGAGAGAAGGAAACCAAAATTATCAAGACTTTTACCTTCCAGACTTGCAAGAGGATTCCGATCCTTTGTATATCAAGCCTCAAGACAAGAAATAGATGTCATGTTAGGTTGGAAATCATCTTTGGTTCTTCCAAACAATCATGAAAAGTGTTGTCATAGGTGACCGGTGATCCACTTTAGCATCTATACTACTTTCTGCAATCAACAATTCTAAGAATGGTGCTAAAGATTGGTTAGATAAAAACTAAAAAATTTGAAATATCTTTGTCCCCTTCTTGACTCAATAGAACCAATTTTGAAAACATTTAATGAGATCAAAAGGTAAAGTAGCATCAGTAATCTCCACTCCCCCAGACTTAAATCATACACAGTCCTCAGTGTATAACCAGTCGGAGTTAGGGCATAAATAAATAATGTATAACTGATATCGAAAATTGTGAATGATATACCTAACCGGAATTCGTATCGATCAATGGTGAGTCGACTTCATCGATTGTCAAAGATAAATCGATATCGAGCGATGTCGACAGGATCGTATCGGTCGATAGAGGTAGTGATCGTGTAGCATCTCTTCTGAAACTAATAAAACGAAAGTAAAAAATAAAAATAATATAAAACCAAGTAAGAAAATACCTAATAGTGGGTTGCCTCCCACTCAGCGCTTAGTTTAAAATCATTTAGCTTGACTATGGAGGTATGGTGGCTAGTGAGGTGAGTTGCAGGTACTTGTTGGGAAACAAGTATCCTCCTTGTCTTGTGATTCTCCAAACCATGAAGTTAAGAAGCTTCTTGTGGCTTCCTCTCTTCTGGTCATACTAGCTTTCAACCCTTGGATCTCATCTTGGATTCTTTGTAGCCACTCCTCAATGCTCGCAATGCTGAACACATGTTGTCTAATCTTGCTGTAGGTTTGTTCTAGATCAATACTCAGCTGCATGGTGTCGAGGTGTTGGATGGTTTTCATAC